ATAATCTACTTGAAAAAAATGTCCACTTTTAATTTTTTTTTTAAACATATATAGCATATTAAACTATACACAGAGGCAGAATGAAAACAGGGCAGGTCTTGCTGTCGTGAGAGGGTCAATGCACAAACTGAGATGTTTTCTATCACCATGCATATATATTATCATATACTCATCAAGGTTGGAAAAAACCTTCAAGGTCAAGTCCAACCATCCACTAAACCATCTCCTGAAACACCACGTTCATCTGTCTTTTGAACAGTCTAACATGCCCTCCCCCCACCCCGCAAGTTATGTCTCCAGTGAAGGAGACTCCACAACCTCTCTGGGCAGCCTGTTCCAGTGCTCTGTCACCCTCACAGTGAAAAAGTTTTTCCTTATGTTTATGTGGAACCTCCTATTCTGCAGCTTGCACCTGTTGCCCCTTTTTCTATCATTGGCTATCACTGAGAAGAGCCTGGCTTAATTCTCCCTGACACTCAGCCTTTGCATATTTGTAAACATCAATGACAGCTGTGTGCCCATTCCTCCACCAACCAAGCTGCTCTTTGGCTCACTCCTTGCACCTTCTGTGCTTGTTTTAACAGAACATTTGAACCTACATCTTCAACCATTTTCTCAATTAAATGATTTTTCTAAATTAAATAATTTACAACAGATCTGTAACAATTTACAGAAGCTGAGGTTTGTTTAAAACCATCAAGATATAAGCAGGGCTTTGTAGATCAATCTCTGAAATACCTTCAAAATTATACTGGAGAGTTTGCGTGATCATCTTTTAATCGCCAGGTTAACTATTTATGTCTAGCACAAAAAACCCCCAACCCTCACACAGAGTATCACTTTGTATTTATTTTAAATTACAGGTATAGTGTAAAAGGAGGAAAAAAAACAACCCACCTCTTCTTGAAGATGACCTACCATCCTGATGTCAAAGCTAGAGATGCCTTCCTTTCTTCTAACTAGTCACCAGCAACAGGAGCAGTGGGTTTAACACACATGCTGGCAACAGCACCATGGCCTCTAAGAAGGTACAGATGGAAGCTTTTAAAATTAGTATTCACACTTATAACTGTAAGAATATTTCAGATCATAAGACCTTAATACTAACTGGCCTATCTGAGGGCAAATGGAAAGCCATGAGTATTTTAATTAATTTTTATTTTTTTTTATTAGTGTTTAAATACTCTTAACTTCCTTTTAGGAAGTTCAGTATCTTTTCTTGTTCAGTGGAGCCAGTAATATCTTTGCTTCTTGGAAATCTGTCTGGTCATGGGATTTCCTTCTTTAGCCTCCTCTCTACGTTTTAATTGTTTCATTAATCTTTGGTGACAAAAAAAAAGAGTAGCTTTTTCTGAAACACTGACAAAATGTATACATGATATTTTTATAACTAAAAAAATCTGGTGTCACTAGAATATTTTAATGCACAAAGTTCCTCTACTCACTGTGTAGCTCCTCTTTAAGGAAAGAGTTCTGATGATGCCACTGGGCTGCTCCCAAGCAAGGCCAGGTTGACGAAACACCTGCTTATGGGTCTGGTGTTTGCAGGGCAGGGCTGGAGAGCTCCATCGTCCTCACCACTCCACACACACCTTGAAGAGGCATCATCCCCCTTGCAGAGTTGACCTGGCAGGTTGGTACAAGTACAGAGCCACAGGGAGCTGTTCTGTAGCCATCCTAGGAGTACCTGCTGTATTCTTCATCAGCAGTAATAACCAGAGCTTTCCTTCTCAATTTCAACCATTCATAACATGTTATCTTTTTTCTTTGTATCTGCCTGTCTTGTAGGAGGGTCCTTTCCCCCTCCTTCCAAATGAAGCCTAAATCCATTTAAGGTGAAAAAAAGAGAGGAAGAAAAACCCAAAAGAAACAAGAATATAGCCAACCTTTTTAATTAGAGTATATTGTACTTCCAAACTGGATACACTAGAAATTGGCAATGCAACATAAGATGCAAAAGAATATACCAGTTACTGTCAAAATGACCCTGTACAGCCTTATAATGCAAAAAGCTTTATACAATACAAATTTTTATTAATGTACAGAAACGTTGACAGAATGATATTTGAACAGAATACAAGTAAAAAAAAAAAAAAAGACAGAAGAAAGAAAAAAATGCTGAGAACTTCAAATGAATTACCAAATGGAAAAACACACTAGCTTTCCTTAAAGAATGCATAGTGAAAACCAGTATGAAATTACCTTTATGGTGGGGGGAATTTATCAGAACTGTTGGTCATTAGTTGGTAGGGGGAACCTCTGGAGAACATTCCTTTGTTTAGCCTTGAACTGCAAACCACTTATTTTAATACGCATGAGCTCTGATAAATACTGTATTTTTTTTTCTTAAAAAAATAAAAACCTCCTAACACACTTTCCTTACAGAGAGAACTTCTATAACTTGCCAGAAAGAATTAATGTATCCTTTCCAAAGTGCTAAACAAATTTCCCAGGTACATTAAGCACTACTATGTCAGATACTAGTACAGTGGTACATTGTCAAACACATGACATTTGCATGCTGACAGCTCATTCTTGGAAGTTCCAGCCCTATTTAATCTGCTGTTTGGTTTCATTTGGTGTCCTACTTCTTCCTCCTAGACAGATGTACTTTACCTGCCAGTTTAAAACATAAACTTTTTGATTTGGAAGTGTTTGCTCTTCTATGGTGGTATGCATTGGGTGTATTTTAAAGAACTGGTATAGTTTCTGGATGCTGATTGCATATTTCATGCTGCTGAGATACTAAATTTTTTTATGCTTTGCGTATTTATTAATACAGCATTTTCTGTTTTGTTTGTACTCATGTGGGGGGGAGGGTTACCAGGGGTTCTGATGGAGTATAGCATGGCAAGCAGGGTCCTGAGTTAGGTAGGGTATTTAGAAAGGGTCATACATGCTTTGGAACAGATGGCTTTTCTGCTTAGACAGAACTACCACATGCTCATTAGAACCAAAACGGTCTGCTGGAATGTAAACACAATGGTGGGACTTCTCTGTCCTTTAATGAATAATTTCAAATGATAACTTGCTACTATTTTGGGTATTTCCCCCTTGTAAATAGCTTCCAGTATGTCAACAGGAGTGCACAGATTAGGATGTCCTCCTTGAGCAGGAAGAGTTTGGTCATGACAGTGGAGAATATTTGGTCATGACAGTGGAGAATATTTGGCCATGTCAGTGCAAAAGAAAGGAAGGAATCTTGCAAATAAGTTAAATGATGCCAGTGTTGCATTAAGAAAAAAATATTTCTACACAAGCTTCATTTAAGAACTAATGGAGTTATGTTTCTAGTTGTGCATATGTTTGAGAGCCTGTGTAGACCAGAGATGCCTTCCTGAACTGGGGCATTGCTTCAGTGCTGTCGCCTACAGGAGGGTTGGCTGCAACTGGCCTGTCGGATCCCCCCCATCCTACAGGAATCTGCAGGAGTTCCTTCAGGACAGCGTGAGGGTGAGTGGATAGCACATTAGATGTGACTCAGGGCACCTCCTGTACTGGCTTGGCCAAAGGAGAGAGGGGACTCTGACAAAAGCTAATTCATAGATTTCTAAATGGTGAAAGACAGCAAGATCCAAATCCATGAGACACCATGGGAAACAACAGTCTAATAAGAGAGCATTTCTTTAAGTCCCAATAACATTTTGAAATGTTTCATGTTTTATACTTCCAATCGTAATGCAGAGTATTTTAATCCTAATTTTTCTTCCTGGATCCTCAATTGTCTAAGAAACACAAATCAATTAACAGTTGGTTAGCTCCTCTTAAATTAAGATCACTCTTGGCATTTTGAGCTTCACAAGGGTTATACAACCAATCTGCATTTGCTTCTTCCTGCAATAAAGTGCTACATGTAACATGTCATTTTAATGACCACAAGTGGGAGTGTTAAATAAGCTTAAAGTTAGCGTCCTAGCAGGGTACACTCTATCTGCCATTAACAAAAAGGAACACAGTATTACTAATAACATGGAGTGTGGTGATAGGACTGTAGAATTTGCAAGAACAATTGAAATACTGAGGGTATAAAAGAGAACTGTGTGGTTCAAACAGCATCTTTTTATAGCTTAATATTTCAAAGAAGCTACTGGTACCTTTTCAAACAAACAGTCTTCTTACCTTCAGCCCACAAATATTTTTTTCTTTTTTGTTTTTTGCAAGTGAGAAACAAACTAGTGCAAGACTAAAGCACTGTGCAAAACTGCCTTTTTTTTTTTAGTCTGAGTAGTTATACCCAGAATTTAACCATACCTTTTTTTTTTTTTTAAATCCCCTTGCTGGATTTTTTTTTTCCACCATAGAATTCTAGTTATTGTTCCTGCAAACTAAAAGGTAACCACTGCATAATACAGTATATATATATATATATATATATTTATATGCCCTTTTAAAACAAAAGATGTATACTATGGCCCAGGTGCAGGTGTTTTGTTACACTTGTGTAACAGTTAAGAATTGGGCCTGTTGTGTGGGGGTGCAGACTGCACACACTGCACGTGTGCGTGTGTACATACACGTGGTTTTTCATACTCTCATCCTTCAGTGCTGAAAGCAACTTTATCCTCATCCGTTCTATCCCAAATCCACAAACCCTGACAACTGAGTACAAGGCATCAAACAGCTAAAGGAGGCTGCAAACAGCACTGAACTAATACACCAACCCACCCTGAACCAAGCGTTACTCCTCCCGCAGCTCTGCAGCGCGGGGGGAGACGGAGGGAAGGGAGGCAGCAAGTGTGTGGAAAAGGAAAAAGAATAATATTTAAATAAGCCAATACAAGGGATGTGCAAAAGCAATGTCATGGTGTGCTACAGGCAGACTCTCTTTCACACACCCGAACGCACACAAAGCCCCAAAATAAAATGCATCAATATGCAACCTTACAAGTGCTGATTGCCATTAAGGACACTCTTTTTTTTTTTTTTTTTCCTTTTTTTTTCCTTTTTTTTTTTTCCAGCTTAACAAGACAAAATAGTATCTTAGATAAGAATACTGGGAACATGCCTCTGAAGGTAGAAGTATGCAGTAGGTCACCTCTTGAAGATTTAATAAAGCAGCTTTCAAGTCAATGCAATAAGTATACACATAGAGCCGGTTTCTAAACCTTACTAATGATATAGTACAAGTGTTTGTTACCTCTCGGGGCTACGTTTTGCAGCAATGCACACCTGCTGGGTTTGCTGGGGTATTATTTTTGGTACAGAATGTAACTGCCCTCAGACAGTTTCTGCCCTTTCTGTCAGTCCAAGGTAGGCAAGGAAGGAGTGTTTAGGTGAAGAGGCACCTCCCGGTGCGGTCTGAGGTCTGGGTGGATGGAATGTGAGATCGTAGTGGTTTTTGGGGAAGAACATTGTTAAAGGAATAAGGTGGGCAAACTCTGAGTTCCAGTACTTATCAAAGCACAGGGAAGTGCCGTTGGTGGCCAAGGCTTTCACTGCCAAGTTTGCCTCTGCCCCGCTGCCCTGTGCAGCTGACAGAGCCACTGTTTGCAGAGCCTGGGAGGCAGACATAACTGAGAGGGGTGACAGGAGGTTTCTGGAGCTGTTCACTGGTAGGAGTGGACTGGCTTCCTTGGAGGCTGAATACTGGCCCTTCTTCTCCTCTTCAGAGCAGTCCCCGTTCTGGTGCTTCTTCACGTGGCGGCTGAAGACAAAAGGGTGGGTAGTCTTGAACAGGCACTCGTCGCAGCTGAAAGTCTGGCGTGGAGCATGCTTCAGTTTCTTGTGCAAGTTGAGATTGTCTTTGCGTTTGCAGCTGTAGCTGCACTGGTCACAGTGAAAAGGGCGCTCGCCGGTGTGGACACGCACGTGCTCAATCAGCTTGTTGGCAGTCTTGGACAGGTAGCCACACTGGTCACACTTGTAATGGTTGCCAAGGCGGTGCTCTCGGATGTGCATCTCCAGCTCCAGCTGGTTTGCTTTCACTGTCTGGCAGATCCGACACTTGTACTCCATCTTGTAGTGAGTCTTCAGGTGGCACTCCATGGCTGCAGGGCGGTTCGTGGAGTAGATGCAGAACGGGCACCTGGCAGCACAGCAAGGAAAGGCAGGGACAGAGAAAAGAGAAGTCACTCAGCTTGAAGGCCTGCATTCCTGGTTTATCCCTGTCACTCAACCCCTTCTCTGACCTACTAAAGAGGAGAAAAAGGCACTTGATGCTCCCTGTAAAGCCTCTTTTGAATACTTGACACCTTGACACATCTCTGCTTAGAGGAGGTTTAGCCATTTAATGGCAGTAGAGCTCACACATTCCCAGGAAAACTCCCAGGTTCGCTCTGAAGGAGCATCACTTTAATCTTCTGGCTTACCTTGATGGGGAAGATTCAGCAAAGCAGGCCGGGTAGTGCAGAATAGGTGACTGATTCACAGGTACTTTGTGTAACGACATTCCTAGTGTTTGCACGAAGTCACTTTGGCCATTTTTTTCCATTAAGAAGTGGTTTAAAGTGAGTGTTTACAGATGAGTATGAAAGCAGCTGTTTAAGTAAAGATGGAATAAACTTGTAATACCACATGTACAGCAAAACCTTTGGAAATTCCTTTTATGTGACCTTGAACAATAATTTTGCTGGGTATCCTGCTAGGAGCAGCTGAAAGCCAGTTTGTTAGGATGATCTGTAGGGATTCCAATTTCTGGGAGATGATCTAGCTGTGCTCAAAGGGTGTGTGTTTGGCAGTGTTTGCCTACAGCTGCCTCTGCCACGGCAGGAATTGTGCCTGTATGGGAACAGGATGTGGGCTCTGCTTACTCACAGCAGCAAGCGTCCGGACCGGGGTGGACGTGGCAAAGGGCCTCACCCCTGGTTCCTGGACCAGGAAGGGCTGAGAAGGCTGGAGGAGGGAATCTCAAAAGCTCGGAAGGGGAAGTTGGTGAGGACAGCTACCTGCCAGGGAGCTCTGCTGTGTTACACTAATCAGGCTCATCAGGCTCCCTTCCACATCTCACTGGTGAGCTGAAAGGTCGAGATACAAAGATACAACTAAGACACCTGGCTCTGGTCTTACAGACATCTCCATCTGCTCCTGACCAGCATTCACTGTTTGGCAGGTCTGCCAATTGCATTTGAGCATTTCAGGTCATTCCTAAGCAGAGATCCTCTCTCTCCATGTGTGTTTTCCCTTGCTACGAGTGGTTGCACATAAAGATTTAATATTAATCTACCTTCTAACTGAGGGACTTTTTAACCCAGTGAGCAACACAGGAGAGCAAACGGATACTAAAACATCTGGACACTTCCTGATGCCCATCAAGTACTCTGATCCAGAGGCAGCCTGACACTGAGGCTGCTGACATGATTGGCTCTCTTGCAACAGAGGACTCAGCTGTCTATGCACACATACCTCTCCCGGACTGGGTGCTCTCTGGATCAGAATCTCAGATTTTGACCTGGAGCTGGAGGAATCATGAGTTTTTTCTCTTCCCCCACAGCAAGCAGGAGACAGAAAAATATAATTTACTTAGATCTCTTCAGGCTCTTCTGGATGCCTTTTTTTTTTAAAAAAAAAACAAACAACAACAAAAAACAGAGCTTTTTCTTAGGTGCAGCTTTCAAGGTACCTAATTATTACTTGAGTTGGGTAGGAATAACTTATGCAGACTGAGAGAAGCCCATTCTGTCAGGAAGGTCTGAGTCATAGGTCATGGTTTTTCCTTGGTAAATAGAACAGATTATGTGCAGCTTAAACCCAAATTGCATTAGGCAACTGGTCTGCACATCCAAAACAGACATCCTGTCATTCTGGCATACTGTTTCTCAGTCTGGTCTTCTTCCCAGATTCAGTCATCACATCTCAAGTGACCACTGATCCCAGTTCATGGAACTACTGAGCTGGAGACCAGACGCTGCCTGGCAAACAGAACCAGTTTTCAAACACTGCTGTGCAAACTGATACTGCTGCTCGTGGTAACTTCAAACGTGATGTGCCCATCACGTGACAGCTGCCATGGACTGAAAACATCAGCTTGCTTAGCCAGAGCAGCAGAAGCAGGGAGTCCTGTGCTGAATCTAGCTGTGACTCAGAGTGGTTCCAGCCTCTTTTCCTGCAGCTGCTGGAACACAGACCAGGGATGTAGATCTTGCATAACATCACACTGCCTGCCCACAGAGAGCAAACATATGGCCCTTGCAGCCACTCCTTCCCTCAGGGGTCCAACTTGGACATAAGGGCACACTCATTCTCTAGAAACATTGCTCTGCACCAACAGACCTTAAAGGACACCACCTTAGTGAACAACAAAGGGCTTTTTTCTTAAAACTCTATTACTTGTTATGTATTAATTTATACAATAGTGATCATTCTGGGGCATGCAAACCAAAGCAGAAAGCATCAAAGTTATTAATTCATGGGGAGGACTAGCTCTGCATTTGAGTCCACAAAGGTAGTCGACAAACCTTTAAGGTTATAATTTCATACCTAGTTGCAGAGACTGTACAGGATTTCGTTTGTTTGAGCCAGGTGCAGAATAGAGCCTGTGCTGTGTGCTCTCCTCTGCTCTGATGCCTCGAAAAAAAAGCCCCTCTTACTTTGCCAACACCTCTGTGTAGTGCTGCCTCATTCTCTGCAGGACCCATCACTTAACATGTCTCCTATTTGACTTCAGAAGGGAAAGGGCCATGGTTTCTTACAGCTCTAACACCAATGGATACTAGGTCTGCTGCTGGGTTAGTGATCTGCTAGAAAGTTGCAAGCCTACACGAAAGGTCTGGGCCTGGGTCATCTAAGTAAAAGGAAGCCCCAGATCTGAGTTATCAGACATTTAACTAACTCTTTCTAATTACTTCCAGCTGCCCTACCCCCACAGGATGAAAGGTGCTTAACACAGTAAAAGTTTGTGTACTTGCTTTCCTTACTTGAGCCCACCGGTGGGGACAGCGTGGCATTTCTTGTGCTCCAGTAACTGTTCAGGTGTCTTCATGAACTTGTGGCACACATCACACTCGAACATCCTTGTGATCAGGTGGATTTGCAGGTGGCGCTCAAACATGTTCTTTGTTTTGCAGACAAAGTTACAGAAAACACATTCAAAGCCTGAAAAATAAAACAGGAAAATGTATTCCTTGCACTGTGGCTAGACCAGCTGCATAGAAATTGACGGTTTGTGTTTGTTTAATGGTGGTTTACCTTTCTCTGACTTCTCTTCAGTGTTCACTGAGGTCTGACTACCAGGCACTACAGAAATAACTAGCAGGTTGTTTGAACCCTTGTTTTTTGGGGTTACGTCTGCATCTTCTTTGCTGTTGGCAGAGTCACTCAGTGCTGACAGTGAAGATGAAGATGGACTGTTAGTTTCACTGGGTGTCTTCCTCTCTTCAGCTGAAAAACAGGAAAAAAGAGCAATAACTAGTACAGCAGATTAGATGAAATCTCAATGATCCTGTTTCAAATTTCCGGGAAAAAATATTGATAGAGTTAATCCAAATATGCTTATAAACAAATCTGAAATTAATTGATCTGTTCAGAAATTACAGTTGCACCTCCTTTCCTTTTATTAGCATTTACAATAGAATAAGTCACATGAGGAGTGGCTGAGGGAACTAGGGATGTTTAGTCTGAAGAAAAGGAGGCTGAGGGGAGACCTCATTGCCTTCTACAAGTACCTGAAAGGAGGCTGTCAGGAGGTGGGTGTTGGCCTCTTCTCCCAAGTACATAACGATAGGACCAGAGGAAATGGCCTGAAGTTGTGGCAGGGGAGGTTTAGATTGGATATTAGGAAGAATTTCTGTACTGAAGGAGTCGTCAGGCACTGGAACAGCCTGCCCAGAGAGGTGGTGGAGTCACCATCCTTGGAGGTGTTCAAGAAACATGGAACTGTGGTACTTCAGGGCATGCTCTGGTGGCTGAGGTCGTAGGGCTTTTTTTGTTGTTTTTGTTGTTGTTGTTGACAGGTAAACTCGGTGATCTTAGAGATCCTTTCCAACCATGACGATTCTGTGATTCTCTCAGTTTATTCTAGACTTAAGCCTGTCTGTAATGGTAGTGGGAAGGAATCACACAACTCCACCTCATTACCAGGCTGAAAAAAAAATCCCATGACAACATGATCCCATGACAGCTCAGTGTTCAAAAACAATGAAGAATTTGTCACTTAGAAAGGAAGCAGAGCTTCTGTAGGTTTGGGGTGTGGAAACCAAAGGTGCCTACTGGTCCAAGCTAAACTTCCTTCACCTTTCCATGCATGTGGATCCAATGGGTAAATCTGGGAGGATGGGCAAAGGAGAATAATCTCATTAATTGTACGGAGGAACATCTTCAGTAATGATTGTAAGGAAGAGGTAACAGTGCAGTGTCAGGATTTATCTATTAGGATCACTTACTGAAGATAAATAATTTTTTAAAAGCCATTCTTTAACTGGAGCTAAAGTTGAAGCCCATCAGAGTTTCCTTACGTGTGCAATAAACCTATGAAGTTCAAATCTCAAACGCTATCACACACTAGAAGTGACCAAGAGTGAGAATTCTCATATAAGAACTGCCGTGAGGCAAGAATGGGCAAATTATTATGTCCCTCCTAAGTCTAGGTTTAATCAGAGCTGTGTTAAAAAAGGAAATAACTAAAACTTCATATTGTCTCTCTGATAAAGTTCAAGGCCTCTGCAAACACTAGTACCTATGTGCCCAGCTTTAAACTGATGAGCGGACCTTTAAACCTAAGATAAAAATGTAGGAATGCACTAATGAAATCTGATGACCTGAGCTGTCAATAGGGAGGATGACTGGGATATCATATAGAAAGATTCACTGACCTTGGGGACCAGAGTAATACAAATGGAATGAAATTTAATAGTGCAGAGTACAAGGTTATGACCTGAAGGGCCAGTAACAAGAATTTTTGCTACAAATGAGGAGTGCTGAAGTTGGAAACAGTCAAGGAAAACAAAAGAAGAATTTGAGCAGAACATGAGATGAATATGAGCAATCAGTGTGGGGGAACCTTCAAGGAAGGTAAATATGATCACAGAACGTTATTGTGTGAGCTATTCCCAGTAGCTGCTGCTGTTTTACACTGCCACCACTGCTTATTTCATTTCACCATGTACAGCTGTGATTGCATATGTCGAGAGCAGGGGTTCTAACAAGAACATATGCAGTGAGGGATTGGTACAGTGAGAAAACTGTGTTTCAAATAAGAAAGGGCTGAGTGTACATTTAGACAGGGGAGGGTTGTTCTCCATAAATATACTAAGGGAATAAGTACTGTGTAAGGAGGGAAGAAAGGTGGAGGGAGTAAGAGGTGGACTGCTATTTCAGGTAAAGAACAGATCTGGCACTAGAACAACATACGTGTGTTCTGATTATCAGTAAGACATATGCTGAAAATGTTAAAAAGGTCCTAATCTTTAATACAGGAAAATCTGCAGCTGCCTGTCAGTAGAAGTAGTTAATTTAAAACTATTATACTTGTTTGAAGATATACACTGACACCCTTGCAAACAGGCCTTTTATCACTTGGTAGCATCACAGGATAAGGGACTGGAGTCAAGTGACCCAGAAAATCTATTCTGTTTTTTTCACCCTCCGTATTGGCCGCACGTGTCAGTGTTTGGCCGAATGGCTCAATTTGACAGGGTAAAGGGAGAACAAAGGGTTGGATTTTTTTTTAAACTTTCGTTAGTAGACAAGCAGCAGCTCCAATCTTTTAATCACGCAGTGAAGATACAGTGAGGTACAGCTCAGTTTTTAGCTTGAATACAAGCTTTTCATGTGGCTATGGGTGGCATTCCTTGTTTGCCTTGACTGCCTGCATATGGAGTTAGCTGCAGACACCTCAGGCAGCAGGGAGAAGTGCAGAGACCTATGCTGGCATAAAATCCCTTGAGAGTTTCCCAGTAGTCTGTAGTTCTGTAGTAAGATTTAACTTATGTATCTGTGAGCACAAACAACTACATTCTTCTCTCCTTCTTCATCTCTCCCTGTTTTCCCATTTTTATTCCTGGTAGGACACAAAAAGCAACTTAGCAATGAAAAACTCATGCTAGCTGCAATTCAGGCTCAGCATTGTCAACACAAATGATAGTAGCTTGTGGCAGCAAAATGCTTGTGCCTGGTGTCATAAGATAAATTAATTAAAAGGATTCTTATTTTCTTCTCCTTTAATTATGCCAGACTTCACTAGTTGGACTACGCATATGGTGCTTGTTTGAAAACTGCTATTGCTCTTATCTTTGGCTAATAAGTGAACAGGACAAGGGAGAGAACACGGGACTTGTTCTGTTATTTAATATAAAGTTACATTTATGGCATTGCTGAATCACAGTGTCAACTAAACATCAGCATGAAATTCCAAACTGATAGACTGTGGAGGCAAACATACTGAAAAGCAAAGCTCGACTTATTATGTATTTCAAACTTACAGCCAGGTATGCACAATTAGCACTCAAAGTCACCTTATTGTCACTGAAGTCAAAGCAGGATTTTGCTGAAATAGTAAACCAGTCAGAAAACCAAATGAAATATGCTGACTTCAACAGGGAAGGCATTTGTGGGGGATAAGGGCAATAGGAAGAAAGAGGGCTAAGTAGTCCTTCATTTATTTCTCTAAGCTTGAAAACTGATCTGCACCACCACATTATTTGCCTGGCTGGAGTCCAATTCACGTCAGCTTTAAGAGATCAGGCCTTAATTAGCAAACATTTCAATGAAAGTAGAGTGCTAATGGGAAGTGTGAAGGTTGCAACTAAAAAGCAAGGAAGAGCAAGATCACTGCAGCTGGGAGAGCGGGATCATCACCTGTGTGCTTGGTGTTGACATGAGCCTTCATATCTGCCTCTTCCATAGTGACAAAATCGCATGCTGTGCAGCAAATGGAGAACATCCACTGCTCTTTATCCACATGGAGGGACATATGACTGACAAACTGGACATTCATCTCCGTCTCAAACCCACACACATGACAGCTGGAATTCAAGAGTAAAAAACATTAAAAAAACCCACAACAACCCACAAACCGAAACATGAATTTTTCTTTCCCTGCATTTGCAAGAAAAAACTCCCTGCACAGATTTCTTCTCTTCCTCCCTGTTGAACATTCACCACAAAATTCTTTTGTCTGCTGAACTGCCTTTGAACTGATGGCCATGCCAACGTGATTAAGGGCAGGCACAATGCAACAATCCTGTACATGCTATAATGACACTAAATAATCATAAAGTTAATTAAAAACTACAGATTCCAGATGCTGTGCATCACCTAGCTGATTCCTTTGGGCAATAAGAGGCATTGCAGCTTTGCCAAGATGTTTAGTACGGCTGATACACTGACAAACGGAGAGCTTGCTGCACACTGCAGGAGTTATTTTCAAGCCCTGGAATGGTTCCCATGCCAAACTGGGATTCTGTGCAAAGCTGCCTGGCAGTTTCAGTGTAAGCAAGTAAAAATGGGTTCAAACATTTCTTATGCTTGACTGGAAAACAGCAGCAGTCATCAGCTATGCAAATAATTAGCAGGGATACAGATTTCACAGCCAGTACATAAACAGAGTGATACTGAGAGGCAGTGGAAAGGACCCTTTAATGTAACTATCTCTCAGAGTCTCCTCTTGCTTTGAATAGACCATTAACATTTTAAACAAAACCAAAACCATTTAAAAACGCATATACTCTTAGGCACTATTTTGCTTTCCCGGGGGATGGACTAGATAATCTAATCCAGCAGCTCTCATTTATTGCTTTCTTCTATGATTTTGTAATTAAATCTGCTTTTGGCACTTTGACTAAAAGTAAGAGTGATTTCCTAATCTGCTTGGCTACTAGAGTCCATATCACAGTTTGCAGAGTTCACAACTGCACATTCAACAAGGAGAATGCTCAAATATCCATCTTCTATGGGCAGTTCCTTTGAATTTTTCATGCAAATTCTAAAGGTTTTCTTTCTTTCATCATGTTGGTCACTGGATGCATACACCTCAAATAAATGGTGCCAATGTGTATCACGATATAACAATTCTTATTACACTTTACTATTTGGTTTCATAGATTTGGTTGAAAACAATGGAGCTGTCAGAGACAACTAGGAGCACAGTGCTTTAGATTTGCTGGGAATCTGTGTATATGATGAGATGTTTTCAAACACAAAACTTAAACAAACATTGCATGAAAAGTTGAAGAGGCTTCTAAGAGCCCATCTGCCTCACATGGCTGTTCCAAAAAAAAAACAACTCCATAGCAAACCCCAGAGTCTTTCCCAATGACCAGCCAAGTCAAACAGCATGGGGCAGCCAGCTGGGCTTTGCTGCTTAGCCTAAGTCAGATTTGGGCAAAAGAAATAGTGTCATTGCAGTTGCACCCTGCAACACCAGAAGAGTGTCCCTCTCACATGTCCTTAGCAGGCAGATTAGACATTTAGATTCCAGCATCTGGTGCACAGCCCTTGGCTGGTTCCTCACCTGTAGTAATAAGGGTGCTTCTTTCCATCGCTGCCTTCAGAAGTGACAGCACTGACAATGTCCTCGGTGTCTGTACTCACCAGCTTCACAGAATGGACCGTCAGGTGCTGGTTCAGATTAGCACGGCACTTAGCAGCATAGGGGCACAGGTGGCATTTGTATTTTCTCTCTTCTGAAAAAGAAAGAGAAAACCTCACATGTATACTTCATTTTGAAGCAAGCTATTTTTAAAGCTGCCAATGACCAAGTATGCATTCCTTTGGCTTTCTCCAAGGAGCCTTCAGAATGAGATACTTTGGAAGCTTGACAGTTTTAGAGGGGTCCCAGCAATTACTCAGAAAAAAATCCTATTTTGGAGATAGTTTAGGGATAGTGGCTTGTTTTTGTTTTGGTTTTTGTTTGTTTATTTATTTGTTGTTTGTTTGGGGTTTTTTTGGATTTTTTTTTGTTGTTGGTTTTTTTTTTAACTTGCTTTACCATTTGCAGCAAGAGAATATAAAACTTTATAAACTGGAAAACTGGGCCAATTGCTGCTCTGAGAGCTGCAGCAGAGCCAGTAGAGAAACAGGTCAATAATCTACAACTACTTCTTCCACCTAGCATCTTTTATTGATTGATTTTTTGGGTCCAGCTGTTCTTGAGGTTGCCCATGTGATCACTTGCAGAGAGGTGATGGTTGATGATTTTGTATTAAAATCTGAGGGTGGGGAGGAAAGGGAAAGCTGTGTCATTAGGCCAGTTTTGAACACCGACTAACTAAAAAAACTCAAGCAAAGAACAGCTGAAGAAATTAAACAAATTCTTTATGAGTTTCTGATGCTTCACAACTTCAAGAAATTAAAATTAAAAATTATTTTTTAAAAATTAAATATTTATAAAACCTGGCAGCACATTTTTAGTGCCTGCCAGGCTTTATTTTGCAAAGAGTTGATTAAAATAACCAAACATTACATCAGCTTTTACAACCTTTCCCTTTGAGGAGCTGCTGCTCTAAATTTGAAATATAATGCTGCAGGTTTTAGGGGGGAAAGGCATTCAACAGAGAAGCTTAGGACTATGAAAACCCCATGATTCCACGGAGCAGAGCATTTGAACATTTCCAGCATGGCTCTACATTACGGTACCTCATACACTGGCATTGTACCGCCAGGATTTTTCAGCACCGCATCAGGAATTCCTGCTTGCAAGTCCTATCTTGTGCAGTGCACCTCAGCAGGCTGACAAGGTGCATCTTTCCTATAAAAACTCTGTTAGTTGATCTGAAGCTTTGAGAAAGTTGGCATGGGTTAAAACAGCCCCTGTTCCTCTCAGAAGAACTGGATGATGAGAGCAAAGATGAATGACAGATATTAAATCCTTTCAATTTCAGCCGATCTGAAACACCAAGGCCAAATCTTTTGCTGTTCAGTGACATTTAAAAAGCTCATCAGGTGAAAGTAAGAAAGGCTGTGCCTTCTCTTCAGAGCTATGTTACCAGGCTTAGTTAACCAGTTGGTATCTACAGGCTGGTTTACCAGAACCTGGACAAACTTAGAATTTACACATTTTGTAAAGATAAGTTACAAATAGCCTGTAAAGAAATAAAATGTTAGTTAACACCCTGAACACCACTCGCTTGACATTCTCTCCTGTTTCTCTGCTCTAAGTGCAAGGAGTGAGGATGGCTCACACGCTCTTCTGCTTACCTCCTTCCCCCTCCCCTTAAACAAACCATGAGGAAGACTCAGGTTTCCTCAGTGCTGTAACCAAAAAGCATCAGCTCACCTGTGTGCAGCGAGAGATGCCGGGACAGAGTCTGCTGTCGACCAAACACTTTTCCACACACATCACAGGGAA